ATAATCTTGCGCAAGCCGCAACTTGAACACTCAGTGTTCAATATCGACCACCGAATGTAACAGTTTTAGTGGCGTACAGTGACTCATTCTCAGATTTGGGTGCACGTTAAAGAACCCCAGGTGATCGAAATTTCCGGAGCCTTTCACTACGGCGTCTCTTATATTCATATGGTTGTTTTGGGAATTTAAACCCTACATATCAATCAATCAATCAATCAATCAATGCGTCAATCACAGGTTGATTGATTGATATGTGGGGTTTAACGTCCCAAAACAACCATATGAATATAAGAGACGCCCTAGTGGAAGGCTCCGGAAATTTTGATCACCTGGGGTCCTTTAACGTGCAACCATATTTGAGGTTTTAACGTGCACCCATATCTGAGGTTTTTAATAACTAGCGGCCGCGTCAGCAGCACGGGTAAGGGAGCTCTGTACATATTTACCTATAACTTTAGCAATTTTGGTTCTAGGAGGGTCAAAGTAGTGTCTATTTGTTCGTGAAGATACAAGAACTTCAACCGCTACAAATCCTGCTATTATTTTAAATTTTAATATTATTTTAAGTTTTAATTTTTAGGAGCGGAAAACAGTGTGAATCTGTGAAAACAACAGCAGTCGGACCAGGTGTTTTTTACGATTGCTTGTTAATATTCTACCGGGAAACTTTTTACTTATAAAGTTAAAAGTCCTTAGGGTAGACCTGACGCTACTGAAGTTTGATCAGGCAAGGTTTAATAGTTTCAGAGTTATTCCGCAATCAAAATTAGGCCTAATCACTAGAAAGATTAAGTTTTTAATATCACCTCACAAACGCATTTAAGTTTTGTCCGCTTAATATAATAATAAACCTAACCCCATAGGCTACCAGGAGGCCCATCCCGTACACTCTAGGCCCTTAATTAAGCTGGTAATCAGCAAAAAGCTCATTTCAATAAAACATTTTTATAAAAATAATCACAAACTTGACTGATACACCGCTGAAACTTACATTTAGAACATAACAATCCGGGTGTGGCGATGACGTAGTGGTTAAAGCATCCGCCTCGCTTGCAAGAGGTCCGTGGTTCAAATCCCGGTGCCGCGCAGTTCCCAACCGGAAAAAAAAACGCGTGTTGATGGAACTGCATTAGGAGGCCTGGGGGGCGGCCTTACCGGTAACCACCGTCGGGAACGCACTCACTCTCCAGAGAAGGATTGGCCACCCTGGTGCAGAATCTGGCCACTGCCTCCCACATGCATACGTCAAATACCTCACGGCCCTCAGTCCGCAGGAGCTGCGAAGCAACTGACACTGGCGGTCAGATCTGCAACGCAGCACAGGGTGCTAAGAATCTCTGGACTATAGGCCGCCATTGGAACCTGAACTTGGCAACGTCTAACGCTAGAACCTTATCTAGTGAGGGAAGTTTAGCTGTACTATTCGAGGAGCTAGAGGGCGTTAAATGGGATATAATAGGGCTCAGTGAGGTTAAGGGGACAGATGAGGTCTATACTGTGCTACAGAAAGGGCACGTCCTTTGCTAACGGGGCTTGGCAGACAGAAGAAAACTGGGAGTGGGGTTCCTAATTCACAGACACATAGCTGGCAACATAGAGGAATACTATAGCCTTAATGAAAGGGTGGTAGGTGTTGTAATTAAACTGAACAAAAGATACAAGATGAAGGTAGCACAGGCTTACGCGCCTACATCCAGCCATGATGACGCTTCACTTGAAAGCTTCTATGAAGACGTGGAATCGGCAATGAGTAAGGTATAAACATGATTCACTATAGTGATGGGCGACTTTATTGCAAAGGTAGGGAAGAAGCAGGCTGGAGACCAGGCAGTAGGAGATTACGGCATCGGCACTAGAAACGCCAGAGGAGAGCTACTAGTAGAATTCGCAGAACGCAATAATTTGCGGATTTTGAATACCTTCTAGCGAAAACGAGAAAACCGCAAGTGGACATGGAGGAGCCCTAATGGCGAAAATAAGAACGAAATTGACTTTATAATGACTGCACACCCAGGAATCGTGCAGGATGTGGAAGTGGTTGGCAAGGTACGATGCAGTGACCATAGAATGGTACGGTCTCGAATTCGCCTAGACTTGAAGAAGGAACGACAGAAACTGATACGCAAGAAGCTAATCAATGAGCTAGCACTGAGAGGGAAAGTACAGGAATTCAGGGTGTCGCTGCAGAACAGGTACTCGGCTCTTAGTGAGGAAACCAACCTTAGCGTAGATACAATAAAAGATAATCTGTTACGGAGTGTGCAGTGGGAGTTGGAGGCAGGGTAGTTAGACAGGACACTGGCAAGCTTTCCCAAGAAACGAAGAATCTAAATAAGAAGCGTCACATCATGAAAGTGTCAAGTACAACCGACAAAATAGAACTGGAAGAGCTTTCCAAGTTGATTAAGAGACGAAAAGTATGCGATGTAAGAAGGTATAACATGGAGAGAATTGAACCCGCTATGAAAAACGGAGGAAGCGTCAAAGCAGTGAAGAGGAAACTTGGGATAGGCAAAAGTCGGATGTATGCACTAAGGGACAAACAAGGCAAAATAACTACCAATATGGACAGGATAGTTAAAATAGCGGAGGAGTTTTACAGAGATCTGTACAGTAGCCGAGACAACCACGACCTTAATACTATAAGTGTTGCATCCGCCGGAAGAGAAAGACCAAGGCCTTACAGAACACCTTTATTTACGGCACTGAATGCTTGCAGCACAAAGCAACGATTCACACAGCAACAGAACAAGAGCCAGAATATATACGCCCACCAGCCACTCGCGCATGTACGATAACATGGTGACGTCACTAACACTGTTCATCGGTGATGCCTTTCACGCGCCGTAATACAGATAACAACACAACACTTCCTTCATCACTAGATCAAAAACGGTCGTAACACCAACGCTCAGGAGGCCGCGTTTCCCGGTTGCTCCGTCTCAGAGGAATTGCATTGTTATTATCGGCTAACCCTGGGTCCGGCGGCCTTTGTTCAACCTGAGGGTCCGGTTGCACCACAGGCTGTGGAGGAGAGGCGACCTCGCAGGCGTGTGGCAGGCATATTTCACGACGTGGGGTTCGGTCGTCGAGCACAGAATGTCGTAAATGATCAGCATGTACAAAACGCACTTGGTTTCCAATAACAACCACATACGTAGTTGGAGACTTCACTCGCGTAACTTTTCCCGGCAGCCATTTCACCGATTCTCCTCGCACGGAACGAACCAACACACGCTCAGCAACCCCTAAATATCGCGGCTTCGCTCTGCGATTATTGGCTGACTGTTTCATCCTTTCTACTTTCTCGGTCATGACCTTTGTCAGATGCGGCCGCACCAAAGACCACCTGGTACGCAACTGTCTTCTCGAAAACAGTTCAGCCGGTGTCTTTCCAGTGAAGGTATGCGGCGTTGTGCGATAGCACAACAGAAAGTTATCTATTCTGTGCTGAAGTCTTCTTGCACTGCCTTTTTCTTTGTCCTCGAACAACTGTTTAAACAGGGCCGTCTTAGTTGTTTGTACCGCCCGCTCCACCACCCCGTTGGACTGCGGGTGGTACGGGGGTGTGAACGTGTGCTTTACACCTTGCGCTTTTAGAAAGCTTTGGAATTCATCAGCCCGAAATTGCGGCCCGTTATCTGTTACTACTTCTAAAGGAAGTCCGTGCGCGGCAAACAAAGACCAAACCACTGCCACTGTCATAGTAGCAGTCGTCGTGCTACATACTTTAACTTCTAGCCACTTACTGTAAGCATCAGCTGCTAATAGGAACATTTTAACTTCCTTCTCTACGAAATCAAGATGCATCCTTTCCCATGGGTGTTGGCACAATTTCCACGGGCTCAAAGGCGCTAGCTGTGCTGCTGTTTGTACGCTTTGACAAACGCTGCATTTTTCGCACGGTTTCTTCTAATGCATCATCAATTCCTGGCCACCAAACCATTGACCTTGCAACCATTTTCATCTTTGTGATTCCGATGTGTTGTTCGTGCAGCAGATTCATGACAACTCTCTGCAAACAATTTGGAATAACTACCCTATTCGTCCAAACAACGCAACTAGCATCAACAGAGAGTTCGAACCGTCGCACCCAGAATGGTTGTAGTTCTTGAGCGACAGCTTTCGGCCAGCCGTGCCAAATCAAGTCGCGCACTACTGATAGTAGCTTGTCGCGCGTTGTTTCACGCTCTATATCTTTTGCTGTCAGCGGTAGTTCGTCCAGAATGGCAAAATAAAAAAAATGTCTTCATTTTGCTCAGAGGTCTGGGGCAATGGCAGTCTAGATAAAGCATCTGCGTTACTGATTGCCGTGCCCGGCTTATGTGCAATCTTATGGCTGTAGTCAGCTAGAAAACAGCCCATCGGTGTACCCTAGCTGTGGCTACAGCACTAGCTTTCCTTTTCGGGTCGAAGAGCATGGTGAGAAGTTGATGGTTGGTAAGAACCTTAAAAGTTAGACCATACAAGTAGTTATAAAATCGCTTCAGACCAAACACAATGCTCAAAGCTTCTTTCTCTATTTGGCTGTAACTACGCTCCGCATGTGATAGTGATCGCGACGCAAATGCTATTGGCTTCTCTGTGCCGCCCACAACATGCGACAAAACAGCTCCCAAACCGTACTCGGAGGCGTCACACGTTAGCTGTATTTCTTTGTTGACATCATACAACTCAAGCACATTTTCGTTAGTAAGCATTTCCTTAAAGGTTCTAAATGCCTCATCACATTGGCGTGACCAATCTCATGCTGCTTTTCGACGCAAGAAGTTATGCAGGGGCTCTAAAACCGTAGCCAGATTTGGCGAAAATTTTGAGTAGAAATTTACCAAGCCGAAAAAGGCTTTGAGCTGAGTCACGTTGTCCGGTTTTGGCGCCTGCTTGATGGCAGCTACTTTATCCGCCGTAGGATGCAACCCATTCTGGTCAACTTCATGACCCAGGTATCTGATTCGTTCTTGGAGCAGCTTACACTTCTCAGTGTTGACCCGTATGCCATGTTATCTTAGGCGTATGAGCACCTGCTCCAACCTGTCATGGCATTGCTTTCTATCTGCGCCTGCGATGACAACGTCATCTAAGTTACAGGCCATTCCTGAGAGGCCGTGTAGAATCTGATCCATCACGGCCTGGAACACCACCGGTGCACAGGCTACGCCGTATGGCAAGCGCCGGAACCTGAACAGCCCCAGGCGGGTATTGACAGTGAGCAGTTCTTGTGCTCGCTCGTCCAATTCGAGCTGTAAGTACGCCTTGGACAAGTCCAGAACCGAAAAGACAGTTCCACCATGTAAAGTTGCAAAAATATCTTCTGGCAGAGGGAGCGGGTACTGGTCTATCTCAATGGCAGGATTTACTGTGACACGGTAGTCACCACATAGCCGAAGCTCCTTGCCATTTTTCTTGGGCACGATCACCAGAGGTGTCGCCCACGCACTGTGCCGCACCCGGTAAATGACTCCAGCTTTTTCTAAGTTTGCCAATTCCTGCTTGACTTGTTCGCGTAGCGCATACGGCACTGATCGCGCCTTACAGAATACAGGTGAAGCGTTTTCTTTAACAACAATGCTCGCCTTGAACCCTCTTATTGCTCCGTAACCCGGCTCAAACACTTCGCGGTATTTGTCAGTCAAGGGAGTTTCTTTTGTCAGTGCCTTCACTTGCATAACTTCATGCCATCGGATTTTGATTTTATTCATCCAGTTACGGCCAAACAACGTAGGCATTCTAGCACATTTCGTCTCTTTGGCAATTACTAGCGGCAAATAAAAGCACAGTTCGTGGTATTGCACTTCAACGTCAATGAGGCCTTTGGTATCAGCGGGTGTACCGTTATATGTAACAAATCTGACATCTGCTTGCCTGAAATTTGCCCCAGGAAAATACTTCGCGCACTCTGCTTCGGACATAATAGAAACTGCCGCTCCCGTGTCTAGTTCCATGGGTACCTCTTTCCCGTTTAGTCTTATATTTATTACAATGACACGGTTTCCCGAACGGTTATCGGTGTGACAAAGCGTTAGCAGTTCAGTGTCCGACGAGTGCTGCTTTTCTAGTTAATGTACAACCCTGCTTTTACACATTTTCGTGACATGGCCCTTCTTTTGACATTTATAACACCTGCTGTTCAGAAAAGGACAACTTACAGGTGCGTGTTGTCCTCCGCATCACTGACAGATATCTTAGTCCGTGTCACCGAAGTCTTTGTGTTGCCGGAGCCGTGGCCGGCGCATGCCCCACTTTGTGAACTCCGATGCAACGCTGCTGATTGGCTCTGCCAATGTATGCCACTGCAGCTGGCTGACTGTTCGGCGGTGTTTCCCGCGACCATTTCCACGGCGTTTTTCGCTGCCGCCTCCATGGCCGTAGCGGTGTTGCAGACGCGGTCCCAGGTGAGCTCGCTGTCGCTCATGGCCAGCAACAGGCAACGTAGGACTTCAGAATGCAGGCCTGCTATCGGGCGGTCACGAAGCGCTTGTTCCAAAAAGGCGCCGAAGTCACATAATGATGCCAATTTCTTCAGCTGTACCACAAATTCTGCGACAGTTTCTTGAGAGGCTTGCTTCCTTTGGTTGAAATGGTATCTTTCACTCACCACTGACCGCCTCGGAGAATAGTGCTTCTTCAGCGCCGACATGACTTCCGGGTATGACGACGTGCTCGGCGTCTTGGGTAGTAGCAGACTTCGGAGCGTCTCGTATGCTTCTTCTCCGATGGCGCTCAAGAACGGATGTAGTTTCTTGGCCTCGGCAATCTCATTGACTGTGGGGTAGAGCTCGAATCTTTCGACGAACACGTCGAAGCTGCCGCTGCCGGGAGCGAATTCCGGTAGCTTGCTGAGAGCCATTGCCGTCTTCAGTTCTTGTCCAGTCCCACCCTCGTCGCCACTTTGTTGGCAAACAGAAGAGAACTGGGAGTGGGGTTCCTAATTCACAGAAACGTAGCTGGCAACATAGAGGAATACTATAGCCTTAAATAACGGGTGGTAGGTATTGTAACTAAACTGAAAAAAAATACAAGATGAAGGTAGTACAGGCTTACGCGCCTACATCCAGCCATAATGACGCTTCAGTTGAAAGCTTCTATGAAGACGTGGAATCGGCAATGAGTAAGGTATAAACATGATACACTATAGTGATGGGCGACTTTATTGCAAAGGTAGGGAAGAAGCAGGCTGGAGACCAGGCAGTAGGAGATTATGGCATCGGCACTAGAAACGCCAGAGGAGAGCTACTAGTAGAATTCGCAGAACGCAATAATTTGCGGATTTTGAATACCTTCTACGGAAAACGAGAAAACCGAAGTGGACATGGAGGAGCCCTAATGGCGAACATAAGAACGAAATTGACTTTATAATGACTGCACACCCAGGAATCGTGCAGGATGTGGAAGTGGTTGGCAAAGTACGATGCAGTCAGCATAGAACGGTACGGTCTCGAATTCGCCTTGACTTAAAGAAAGAACGACCGAAACTGATACGCAAGAAGCCAATCAATGAGCTAGCACTGAGAGGGAAAGTACAGGAATTCAGGGTGTCACTGCAGAACAGGTACTCGGCTGTTAGTGAGGAAACCAACCTTAGCGTAGATACAATGAATGATAATCTGACGAGTATCATTACGGAGTGTGCAGTGGAAGTTGGAGGCAGGGTAGTTAGACAGGAAGCTGGCAAGCTTTCCCAAGAAACGAAGGACCTAAATAAGAAGCGTCCAATCATGAAAATGTCAAGTACAACAGACAAAATAGAACTGGCAGAGCTTTCCAAGTTGATTAGGAGACGTAAAGTATGCGATGTAAGAAGGTATAACATGGAAAATATTGAACACGCTCTGAAAAATGGAGAAAGCGTCAAAGCAGTGAAGAGGAAACTTGGGATAGGCTAAAGTCAGATGTATGCACTAAGGGACAAAGAAGGCAAAATAACTACCAATATGGATAGGATAGTTAAAATAGCAGAGGAGTTTTACAGAGATCTGTACAGTAGCCGAGACAACCACGACCTTAATACTATAAGAATTAGCAGTAACCCAGATGACTCCCCACCAGTAATGATAAAAGAAGTCAGAAAAGCTTTGGAGAGCATGCAAAGAGGCAAAGCTGCTGGTGAGGATCAGGTAACATCAGATCTGCTGAAAGATGGAGGACAGATTGTGTTAGAAAAGCTAGCCACCCTGTTTACGAGGTGTCTCCTGACTGGAAGGGTACCAGAGTCTTGGAAGAACGCTAACATCATCTTAATACATAAGAAAGGAGATGACAAGGACTTGAAGAATTACAGGCCGATCAGCTTGCTCTCTGTAGTATACAAGCTATTTACAAAGGTAATTGCTAACAGAGTAAAGAAAACATTAGAATTCAATCAACCAAAGGAACAAGCAGGATTTCGAACAGGCTACTCAACAATTGACCACATTCATACTATCAATCAGGTAATAGAGAAATGCTCAGAGTATAACCAACCACTATACATAGCCTTCATAGATTACGAGAAGGCATTTGATTCAGTAGAAATATCAGCCGTCATGGAGACACTGCGAAATCAGGGCGTAGATGAAGTATATATAAACATTTTGGAAGAAATCTACAGGGGATCAACTGCTACCATAGTGCTTCATAAAGAAAGCAACAGAATACCAATCAAGAACGTGTAAGGCAGGGGGACACAATCTCCCAAATGCTATTTACCGCGTGCTTACAGGAGGTTTTCAGAAGCCTAGAATGGGAACAGTTAGGAATAAGAGTTAATTGAGAATACCTTAGTAACCTGCGCTTCGCCGATGACATTGCGTTGCTGAGTAACTCAGGGGACGAATTGCAACTCATGATTACGGAGTTAGACAAGGAGAGCAGAAAGGTGGGTCTTAAAATTAATCTGCAGAAAACTAAAGTAATGTACAACAACTTCGGAAAGGAGCAGCGCTTCGAGATAGGTAATAGTGCACTTGAAGTTGTAAAAGACTATGTCTACTTAGGGCAGGTAATAACCGCAGAGCCTAACCACGAGTTTGAAGTAACTAGAAGAGTAAGAATGGGGTGGAGCACATTCGGCAAGCACTCTCAAATTATGACAGGTAGATTGCCACTATCCCTCAAGAGGAAGGTATATAACAGCTGTATCTTGCCGGTACTTAGTTACTGAGCAGAAACCTGGAGACTTACAGAGAGGGTTCAGCTTAAATTGAGGACGACGCAGCAAGCAATGGAAAGAAAAATCGTGGGTGTAACCTTAAGAGACAATAAGAGAGCAGAGTGGATTAGGGGACAAACGGCGGTGAAGGATATCATAGTTGAAATAAAGAAGAGGAAATGGACATGGGCCGGGCACGTAGCACGTAGACAGGATAACCGCTGGTCATTAAGGATAACTAACTGGATTCCCAGAGAAGGGAAGCGTGTTAGGGGGAGACAGAAGGTTAGGTGGGCAGATGAGATTAAGAAGTTTGCGGGTATAAATTGGCAGCCGCAAGCACAGAACCGGGTTAACTGGCGGAGCATGGGGGAGGCCTTTGTGCTGCAGTGGACGTAGTCAGGCTGATGATGATGATGATGATGATGATGATGATGATGATGATGATGATGATGATGATATCTGAGCACACGGGCCTACAACATTTCTGCTTCCATTTCGTCAATCACAGTTACACGCCAATAGTGCACTAACCATGTTTCCAGCAGCAGATTTGCGAAAAGCTTTACAAAAACACTTTATTTTCATGCATGTCAGGTGTTCATGCACAACAACACTCGTAGCTTTACTATTTGTTCTTCGTTATTATTAAGGTTAGTTTACACCTTTTGAAAAGAAGTGGAATCGAGTGAGTCAATAACATTGCACCAAGGGAATTCGACCGATCTGCAAAGCTCCGCTGAGATACCACTTCTGCCTGGACTGAGAGATTTTTTGGAACATTTAGTTTAGAAACAAGTGGTGTTGTATACATTACCAAAAAAAGTAATCAGATGGGTTACTTGCTCTGCTAATAATAAATATTCGCGTTACCATCGTATGTTGCCTACCAGAAAGGCAACGGATTACCGTTACCAAAATAAAAATAACTAGCGTCTTCTTCGATTGCACTCCATGGTTGATATGTGGGGCTTAACGTCCCAAAACCACCACGATTTTGAGAGACGCCGTAGTGCAGGGCTCCAGAAATTTCGACCACCTGGGGTTCTTTATCGATTATACTCCAAGATCAGAAGTTGGAATCAATGAGTTCACGTTGCGGGAGCCAGAATATCATTTTAATAAACCTCCTATTTATATTTGACATGTCGTAAGGCATTCGTTAAACATGGTTCTAGTACCGTAAGTATTCTTGCTAAGATAAACGTAAACCCAAGTGTGTGTCTCACTAGGCACGAAGAAATAAACGGGGATTTTACCTATTCCTAGAAGCGCTTAGGATGAACATTGTCCTACAGGCTACATTACCTATTGACCACCTGAAATCACGAAGACTCAGATAGTTTGTTTTTTCTTCTGCCATAGATAACTTCCTACGAATCTATTCAAATATTGCAAGTAACGTCGCTACAACTGGCTGTCTCGCGCATTTTTATACAATTGTTATTACCGTATTGTATCTTTTACTGTGATGTCTCTGTGTACCAGTGTGTAGTTGTGATCCTGAAGATTTCTGATACTTCATTTTAATGTTATGTGTTATTCATTCCTCACAATTAATACCCAAATTGGACGCTGTAGATATATATAATCTTAAATGATCAAAATCGTGCCATTATGTGCTTAGCCCAGCTCATTCACTTTCCAGAATAGTACAACTCCCGGAATTTTCGTCACTCAACTTATTGATTTTTGCTTTCAATTTTCATGCCAAGTCTTGATACATATGTATTCCCTCGCTCTCTATTTGTGGAGCTTTGTTTCATACCTTTTGTATCCGTGCTTAGTGTCAATTTATACTTGTAAAGTATATTTTTTATTCTACGTGTATGAATGTCTGTCGTGTATTGCTGCTTTGTCAACTTGTGACTGGGTCGGTACTTTATCAACCACTGGAGCTTTTATTCCCGTGCTCCTCAACCTATTCAAAGAAAAGGAATGAAGTCTCTGACCAAAGCAACTACAGCTACTTTAGGTGAATTAGCTAGGAAATTTTGCACGAGATGCCGGACATATAACACAGTGGCCTAATGTGCACCTGAGAGTTGCATGTGATGGCTTATACGGCCATGGCATATGTAAAGTCCATCTCTCATTTTCACAGAAAGCCGAAATATTATTTCATCATCAACCTTCTCCGAAAAGATGTGATCACTGACCTCAAAAAAGTGCAGTAATTTTGGCAGCTTGCATCTGCTGGCGGACCACAATCGCAGGTATTTGCAGTGTAAATAACTTTTGCCCCGTAAACCTACACAGGGCCCGCTAGAATCGCAACTGTTTGATGGAAACGTGAGCCTTGCTTTTCCAGGTACTGCAAACTTAATTCTCTGTGACCTGTACTATCAGCAGAAGCAAATTTTGTTTTGGAATAAATAGCGTTACTGTGTTTAATATGATAAATAGCGCTACCGTGTTGCAGGAACGACTTGCTGACAACTACAACTCGCACTACTTAAGCAGCAGCTCTATTTCTACATGTATAACGAGTGCGTCCAATACTAATTGCCAAATTTACGTGCTATATCAGTAGCGGCGTTACTTATAACGCGTAACCACCAACACTGTGAAACAAGGCAGGCGTTCTTGCTCTCATCACGATTATTACGAAGTACCATATTTCTCACAGCATAGCTTGCCACATAATATACAGGGTGACAACCAGCTGCTCAGCGGTGCTCATGGGCGACAGACACTGCTAGTGTATCAGATGGAAATCT